GGTACCCCCTAATCAAGCAACCAGGGTTTGTTGATCCGGGGCTGACATTATGTAAATAAGTGCACCTATCTTGTGTATATATAAATATAAATATAAATATATATATATATTTATGTAATTCAAATGTTGTATGCATGTCTCGTGTCTAACCTCAATCATATGCGAAAGAGAAAGTCATATAACTCTTGGCAGAATAGTACATTCCACAGAACGTTTACCAGTAGTACCGCACAAGGCTGTGGCGGAAGTTTCAAAAATAGGAAACCAATAGGAAGGGTCGGTTGTTGTGACTCACGGATGGCAGAGCGAATCCACTGATGGACCGAAAGGTGGTTGGAGTTGGAGTTGTGCTTTTTGGAGTGGCTGCAATGGTTGCAGCGGTCACCTCACTCACAACTCCTGGATGTAGTGTGGTGTAGCGCAGTTGTTGCATGTGTAGTTGTAGTTGTAGTTGCAGTTGTAGTGATGATGTTGTTGAAGCTGTTGAAGTTGTAATGTTGTAGTTGTGGTTGTAGTTGTAGTCGTGGTTGTAGTGTAGCTGAAGTGTAGTTGAAGTTGTAATTGTCAAAATTGTAGTAATTATAGTAATGGTGTAGCGCAGTAGTTGTAGTTGTAGTTGTAAGTGTAGGTGTAGTTGTAGTTGTAGTTGTAGTGTGGTGGAGTTGTAGTGTAATTAGTGTAGCGTAATTGCAGTTGTAGCTGTGGTGTCGAGTAATTAGTGTAGTGTATTGTAGTGTACTGTAGTGTTGTGTACTGTAGCGTGGTATAGTGTCGTGTGGCCTAGTGTATTGTAGTGTAAACTAGTGTAGTTGTTGTAGCGTAGTCCCGTGTAGTGCCATGTAGTGGTATAGTTGCAGTTGTAGCATAATGTAATGTAATTAGTGTAGTGTAGTTTTGTGGACTGTAGTGTAGTTCGTGCTGCAGTTTAATGAGCGTATTGGTGTGTCGTAGTAGTCGTAGTAGTCGTAGTAGTCGTAGTACTCGTAGTAGTCGTAGCAGTAGCAGTAGCAGTATAGCAGTATAGCAGTATAGCAGTATAGCAGTATAGCAGTATAGCAGTATAGCAGTATAGCAGTATAGCAGTAAGCAGTATAGCAGTATAGCAGTATAGCAGTATAGCAGTATAGCAGTATAGCAGTAGCAGTAGCGGTAGCGGTAGTGGTAGTGGTAGTGGTTTTGGTAGTGGGAATGGTAGTGGTAGTAGTATTGGTAGTAGTGGTAGTAGTAGTAGTAGTAGTAGTGATAGTAGTAGCAGTAGTAGTAGCAGTAGCAGTAGTAGTAGCAGTAGTAGTAGAAGTGATTAGCAGTAGCAGTAGCAGTAGCAGTAGCAATAGTAGTAGCAGTAGTAGTAGCAATAGTAGTAGTAGTAGTAGTAGTAGTAGTAGTAGTAGTAGTAGTAGTAGTAGTAGTAGTAGTAGTAATACTAGTGTAATTAGTGTAACTAGTGTAATTAGTGTAGTTAGTGTAATTAGTGTAATTAGTGTAATTAGTGTAATTAGTGTAATTAGTGAAATTAGTGTAATTAGTGTAGCCTAGTGTAATTAGATGTAATTAGATGTAATTAGATGTAATTAGTGTAGTGTAGTATAATTAATGTTGTGTAATGTAGCGTAGTATATTTGCACGTGTAGTTGTAGGAGCAGTGTAGTGTAGTGGAACTTGTAGTTGTAGTTGCAGTTGTAGTTGTCTATCGATCTATCTGTCTATCTGCAAGCTTGAAAACGAAGCTATTCTGCGAGACTTCCTCAGTTTTTGAACTTGACAACATCAAAAACGGAGCAGTTCTCCGAGACTTCCTTAATTTTTGAACTTGACAACGTCAAAAACGAAACAATTCTGCGAGACTTCCTCGTTTTTAGAAGTTGACAACATCAAAAAGGAAGCAATTCTGCGAGACTTCCTTCAAAAATTAAAAGTTGAGTGCAGAGCTGACGGCCTCGTACCAATGACTTGCGATTTTTCCACTCCACCTGTCTAAAGTATTGCGCCTGCCACGAAAAAGTGAGGCCAGGTCATACGAAGTGCTGCGCCTGTCACGCAAAATCACATCTTCCCAAAACTGAAGATCTGATGCTCCAAAATGCAACCCGTCTCAGGAAATCAGCGCCCGGACCTCCTAACAGCTCTGATGAACATGTCTCTTGTACTGCGCCTGCCATGGAAAATGCATCTTTGCAGATCCTCTTCACATGTCCCACGCCTGCCATCGTTTTTGGAAATGCCACAAAACCCTCACGTTTTGCTCACTTTTTGACAAGGTGCACAATCCCATGCATCTGCCACGCGAAACGGCATCTGAACGTCCAAAAATGGTCCGAGCATGTAGGGTTTTTAACATGTTTACTTCGAAATGTTCTTCGCGCCCCAACGGCGTGCACTTTTTCGACATCTCTACTTCCAAAAGTGGTCTGGACCTGGCGTGCTTTGTACATTTTGACTTTGAAACGCGCCACAACGGCGTGCGCTTTTTCGACATCTCAACTTCCAAAAGTGGTCCGAACATGTGGTGCTTTTATGTGCTTTTAACATGTTGACTTCGAAAGTGCTTCGCGCCACAACATGCCACAACGGCGTGCAATTTTTCATCTCTCATCTGCCCAGCGGGCTCGGCACCCGCCGCTTTAGCGAGCCTACTTTTCGACGTTCCGGAGCCACAAATCATTGGAAAAACATAGTGTTTCGCGACTTTCCTACCTTTTCGCGGACCTGGATCGTCTTTCTTCTGAGACTTTATCTTTCTTCTTCTCTTCTCTTCTCTGACTCTCTTCTCTGACTCTTCCCATCTCTGCTTTTCATCTGTCCATTGTCGGAAGTTTGACTTCTAAACTTCCTTCGATTATAATTTATGTAAAATCGATCTATCTATCGATCTATCCATCTATAATATCTAAGTATATATCTATATATCTGTCTATCGATCTATCTATCCATCCATCTATCGATCTATCTATCTAATATCATCTGGAGACGCGAGCATCTATACGGTTTAACTTTCGAATCATCCCTGGGACCCTTGCAGAAGCTACTCAGTTTCTCCGTTTTGGTGAATTTGATGAACCTATGACGAGTTATTTCCCATATCTATTTCCCAGATTTTTCCCAAAAAGCTGCAGTGAGTTCAACCATGACTTGGGATTCCATCCGTTGTAGTGTGGCATCATGTTCCTGGGGCCTGGCTTTAGAGTTGCCGCAGAATGCACCCCACGAAGCTGGCTTTCAAGAGCTATGAAAAAGATCCTCATTGTGGTTGATAAACCCATTGGCAACCTTAGAGACACTGAAGAAATCATGTGCTAGCTGGTTGTCATTTCATATCATTTCAATATATCCCCATGCATAGCAGAAAATCACTTGTCCTTTACTTCCCAAGAACCTCCAAGTAAACACTTCTTGGGGTTGCCTTTGAAGGGTTGAGGCGGTGATTTGAAACTGGTACACCGGCAGAATTTCATCACATTTGATGTTCCTGTTGTTCCGGGTTTTGCTCTGCAACTGGGGTTTTGCTATACCACACAGATAAAGCAGCAACGCTAGCATTGACAGCAACTGTGTTGGTCCAATGCTAGCAGTGTTTGCCAACAACAGCGTTGGTCCACTGCTACCACACGGCCAACGCTAGCAGTGTTTGCCAACAAGAGCTTTGGTCCAATGCTACCACATGGCCACTGCTAGCAGTGTTTGCCAACAAGAGCTTTGGTCCAATGCTGCCAAGTTTGGCGCGATGCTAGCAGTTTTGCCAGCAACTATTCAGATGATTTATCTATATATATATATCATATATTGATATTATATATGTACACGCACATGATTTTTGTAAGGGTATATAAATACAGGGGGGTCAACACGTTTATCCCTGCGTTTATTGTGTGCACGAACCCTGCCCATTAGAACGTCCAATGCGTGGTTTATGGTTTTGGAAAAAATGAGCCATGGATGGAACTATTATTTGACACAGTGGCCACGGCTACCCGTTTTTGGTATCTTGACATTGAAGTAAATCAATGATATGGTGGCCAATCATTTCCCAGTATGATAATTATGAGAATTATGATGATACTATATATTACAACTATGGGTACCAATGCTCCACCCCTCCAGGGGTCCATATTAACAAAATATAACAAACACGCACCAATAGTAAAACACAGGACAAACGAAGATCATGAAGATGGTTGGCCCATTTTCCATTTGGATGATCAAAGGGGTAAAGACCTTATATAACGATCCAACGGTGAAGAACTTCAAACACATCCTGGTACATAATGATAATGAACGCCAAGAAAACAGTATTGGTTGAAGTTAATCTCGCTTTATTTGTGGGCCTGTATGGTTTTCATCCTGGCTGGCGCTAGCTGGTGCCAATGGGTCAAAAAAAAGGTCATAAACCCAAACTGTGAAATTAACCAAGTAACCAGTATAATTCCCTTATGATTTAATGATCATATGACCACTAGTAATCAGAGCTGCTGTACCTGTACTTTTACCCACATTTGTGTTGGTGTCCTTTCCAAAACTTAAACTAAACCACGATGGTGTTCTTGCACCTACCATGGAACATTATGATTTTGGGTTGCAAGTCGGTTGGATACTACAAGGCACAATTATAGTTTGGAACTGAAACTTAGAATGAGGTTTCAATTTCCAAAATTTTCAGTGGAACACTTAGAATGAGAGCTGTTAGAATGACGTACCAGCAACATTTTTATAATATATATTTTAATACTATATATCATATCATATCATATTATGTTATATTGTATTGTACTATAATATATATATATAGGTTTCTGAGTTTCAATTCTCCAGCATATATATATATATATTTATTTATATTTATCAGTCAGCCAATTCTTGAGTCACACGCCTGCCAATCGAAATGAATGCCCATTTTGCAAACATTTTTTGACGACTCCTGCAAATACCAGCATTTTGCCTCTTACCCTCAAAAATCAGAATTTCAAATTCGTCACCCTTACAAGGGCGCCGAGTCAACCGGTTGCCTTGTGTTTTCCACCCCAAAGATCAAGCTGAATCTGAAGCCACCCACGCTCACGGCCCAAGTGCAGCGCTCAAGCAGCAGGGCTCACGGATGTGGGAAGTGACCATATCCATCAAATGACAATCGAATTACGATGACATCAAAATCGAATTAAGGCCATCGGTGGTTCAACGCCACATTGAAAATATGCAATGCATACCGAAGTACGCCATTGCTGGTACAACGATGTTACCGCATGCAGCCAACCGGTCTTTCTGATCATTGCTTTGGGTTGCAGAAAGCCATTTGTGCAATGGTGGCTTTTTTTGGGATGCCATCCAAGTTTTCTGGGGCCATGACTGTAGTTCCTCTACGGGCAGCATCCTGTGATCCTGGCCAGCCACGGTTGGTTGTTGCTTCGTCCACTAGGTGACATGATCCAAATCATGATTGTGGACACAACTCAATACTTGCCATTCATGACTTGATGATGAACACAACAAACAGATGCGAATGTCCTCAAAAAACTTGAAGTTTGGATCCGCCAAGAGAAAGAAAACTCTTTGTCGCCATATCTAAGCTCAAAGTCAGGAAGCCACACAAACAAATGTTCATATATGCATTCAACACTTCGGGCTCATTTTGATTGAGGCTCCAACCGGAGCACCAATCTGGTGCCCATTGACCGAACAATATGTGACTCTGAGGTTCCGGTCGCTGGCAGCCTGGCAAGGCAGAAGGGAGGAAACTCATGGTTGGCGGTGGCATTCTAAAATGGTGAGGGGCCTAGAGAACATATTCCATACAGTCTCTGCATTTGGTGGACAGGATCGCGCCAACATTCTCAAGGACCAAAGACTTCCTTAGATACTTGCTGATCAATAGGGGTTGAACAAGTGGAGTACACAGCTGTCATCAAATAATATGAAAGGATTATTCATACATGTCAAGCTTCAAGGGACGCCCTTTGGTTTTGTACTCGTCATGTAAGCGAAAAACTTCTCTGATCAAAATGGTCCTCGACCCTTGCATGCTGTTCTGGTTCCCTGCGGAGGAGATGTCCTGACCAAAAGCAGAACATCTAACAGAGGTTGCATGGTTGATAGTGTGGCCTCATTTTTTCTTGATTGGTTGAACATCTTCACTCTTGTCCTGACACGGAAATCCAGCCAAAAAGCCATCGATATCATCGCCCAAGTCCCCTGCCGAAACCTGCTTGATGTCCTCCAAAATGGGACCAGGGTCCGCTAGCTGGTCTTGGATGCGGGCTTTTATAACGTCACGGCAGAAGGGTGACACCTCCACCTGAAGCAATTGGCTGATGGCTGAATTTGGTCAAAACGGTTCAAACTAAGGAAAATGGTTTTGACCGACTACCAGAAATTACAACTTGTTTTGAGAACGCCACATAGGAGGCAACTTTCACGAACCTTGGCTAGTCGGGAACAACTTGGGGATATTGAATCACTTGGTTAGTTGCATACTTCAACAGCTAAGACATTCGTTTTGAATGAATCTAAGCCATTGACGGCCGAAGGCCAAGCTCCAAGCCGAGAACCCCTGCAAACAATGAGGCCACTTTGTGCTTGGGCTCCTCACAGGGATGGTAATTAGCCAGAGCTGCTGTTGTATTGTAATCTTACACATGGTGAGATTGATTGACTTCTACGCCTTGTTTCGGCTAACATTGATCATCCCTTATTAATGATATTAATGATACAAGATTACTTCACACGGATAAACATGATCAGTATACATATTCCAGACTGACCCTGAAGGGGATCCTAACTCTCCTGCTCCCTTCCACGAAGCCATGGATAGATTTGACTCAGATTTGTAATCATGATTAAACAGTGTGCCGTTTTGAACATTGATAGCATCGCCATCTACTGCAAAGGCAAGAGGAAATTTAGGTCTAAGCCATGAAAATCTCTCTCACCATCAAGCTGTTTCTGGGCTTCTCCGATCACATCCCTGGTCAGGAAGGAGTGGACCTGAGTGGCTGAGCGTTTGGCTGAGCTTGGGCAATGGGATGCACAGCACGTTTGTGGCAGTTAATCATTCTCATACCCCCAAATATGGTAAACTATTGACATGGAGATATGTGTATATATATATTGGGGGTGTCCAGCAAAGGTCACAAAAATTGTGGAGCGTGTTCACTGAGATCCCAAACATGGTGCAGAACAGTAGCTACAAATGCCTCTCTCTTCAAATCCTTTTCCTGAGTAAACAACCCAAATCAATTCTTTCAAAAAATTGGTGAAACCATTCCATGAAGTTGAGGCAAAGGCCGTTTCTGGGATAACATCGCCCACATCGAGAATCTGCCGCGGTGTTGAAAACATGTGGTTTCACATGAAACTGGCATCTAAGGATATATGTATAATTATGTATATGAACATCTATAATCATCTATTTATGCATTTTGAGATTGAACCACACTTGAATGCGCCTCTTCCTCGGTGTCTTCAGTATCAGGGTCTCGCAGTTGCAAAGGCTGAGCAATGGCCTTGCAAAGCTGTAAGTTTGAACGATTTCAGTTGGTCTAAGCTGATATTTCGGAGTAAGTCTGAGAGATTGGCACGCACCCTTTCCAAGGAATTAATCTCCTTCAACCTCAAAACCAGAAGTCTAAAGGGCAAAGATTTTCCACATGAAAACCCCTTGAAAAATGTGAGGCCACAACTCTGAAGACCAATCGAAAGCGTTCTTAGCGAAAGGGAGTTCAACATGGACCAGCAGCATGGCGTGAATTTCCTTGAAGTTTCTGAAATTCAGTTCTGGTCCGACCGGCGAAGCGATAAACATGGAGATCGGGAGCGGGGCGAGGCCGTGGAAGCCTCACAAGGTTATGCACAAACCATCAACTACGTACATAGAGTTCATATGTTACACACGCATGGTTTGGATAAATTGGCAAATCCAACATATTTACTCATAACTATCTATAAATACATATTTACATATACCTATGTTATGTATTTGCATTATTCCTCTTCACTGTTCATATATGAAATGTTTGTAAGTACCAGGCCTTTCGGTTGGACATTTCCTTCCAGATGAAGCGGCCTTAGCAAACCAAAAAATATTACTATGGGTTTTTTGAAGACCTTGACCCAATGGGTTTCCGGACCACAAAAGTCCAAGCCCAGCAAGGTTTCAAGGAGATGAAGAAACGGATCACAAACGGCTGAAGTTGGGCCGGACGGCCAGGCATACCATTCCCATCGCACCCAGAAGCACCACCCATAATGATTTTGGGGCAACAAACCTATTTCCCAAAATGTTCCGGTTGGCTACTGGGTGACCATGTACGCGGGTTACTATGTGCTTAGTTAGGAACACTTTCCTCAGGTACGCATGGCATGGCTGTATGGGATGGAATTTTGGTGGTGCCGAACATATTTTCGAATAAAGAAACTGTACCATGGTTTTGTAGGTGGGTGGGAAACAATGGTTGAAACCCCGCATCCATGTGCATAACGTTGACGAAATAAAATGCATCATCAAACCCAGAATCTAATGGTGGAATTTGGGCCGCTGGATCTGGGATATGGCGCTGGGACACCCCTTTGACAATAACATGGTTTTTACTTATCCACCAGATAGAACTCATAATTTCGATGTTGAAACTACTTAAATGGTTTCAGATGTTAGAACTTGATGTTACCCTGATATTATGTTTGATATTATTTGGAAAATATCAGCGCAAACCTATGGGACATGGACGGTTTAAAAAAATATGGCGCTGATGCTGGCAAAACCTGCTAGCTTTGGACCAAACACTGACGATGGCAAAACCTGCTAGCATTAGACCAACACTGTTGCTGGCATAAACTGCTAGCATTGTGCCACTACTGTTACTGGCACAAACTGGTAGCATTGGACAAGCGCTGTTGCAGGCAAAACCTGCTAGCATTGGCCATTGCTGCCCGCCGCTTCTAAGAGAAATGTGCTTCTTGCCATCAATGTAGCTGGTGGAAGCTGTCTCTACATACAGCCCATGACTGCAAGCCAGAGGGTGTTTTTTTGCAAAACACCAGTTGCAGAGCAAACCCTGGAACAACACGAACATCAAATTCACCCGAATCTATTGTTCAACGATTTAATTTTGTATGTCGATTAAATGTTGGTAGACATTGCCACGTAAATGGCAGCAAACCGTCGGGTCACCCCAGAAATGAGATAGCAACCCGCCAAAAAATACAACAGAACAGTAAATTCCTGCTAAAGCAGTGGTAAAGTGCCGTTCTAATTATCTTTTTGGAGGCTACGGGTGGCTACGAGTCATACTCCATTTATTCTCCGAGGTCGGGGTGCTTGACCAAAGATCTCCACGTTGCTACAGTGCTTGGAATCCACCAAGAGCTCCTTATTGAGACAAGGGCAAGGCCCGCGCCCGAAGGCCTTCCCTTCAAGAAGTTTCCCTTTCCAAACAATTCGAATGTTTTCGAAACATGGAAAAAATGAGCCTTGGCGGCTTGGCCAGGTCGAACAAAACATATCAAAACATCACTTTCTTACCACGATTTTGCCACAGCTCCCAAGTGCAAGTGCAACCGTATTGTGAGCTGTATGCCCGCAAGTTTTCCTGGGCCGGTTCTCATTGCGGACCGAAAACACTCCAGCAAAAATGACCACTTTCAACTGTCGTCAAATGATGTCAAATGGTGGTTTATGAAGTGGGGGACCCAAAAACGCTCAAAATCCACCAGTATGGTCATATTCAACGGGGAATCCGATTGTGGAAACTCGTGAAAACGGTCTGCGCACCCTGAATTTTGAACTCAAACTTGTCAACCCTGAAACATGTACAATGCCCAGTTTCTTCGAGGGCCCATATACCGTTTGAATCACGCCCAAATAAATCGCAAAATGCCGCAGGAAAACCACCGTTGAACCAGGTTTACATAATTGTCGTGCACAAATGATTTATTGTATATAGAATTCTGATGCCGACTGGGTCAAATTCATTTAGACTGCAGTCAATCCGGAAAATTGTGCGTTTTGCGGTGCGATATTGCTTTCCTGTTCAGGAACTGCTATTTGTTTGATTTTTTTCCCGCCTGCCAGGTGAAGGTCTCTAGTTTTTAACAAAGGTGCAACTCTTTTTCCCTCCTTCCTTCCTTCCTCCGCTGTTCGTGGTCGCTGTGGGCTCCAAGCGGAAAATGGAGTAAACTCGCCCCAGAAGCCTGGACATGCGCGGGCCCGAACCTTCTTGGGAGCTTCAGCTCAGCCCACGCATGGACCCTAACCCTAGGGCGAGCTCCAGATCTATTTGGGCACACGCGGGCCCGAACACATGCCAGAAAGAATGTCAGATAGCATGTCAGAGTAGATACCAGAAAGATTGCTGCCAGATTGGAGATGCCAAATAGAATATGAGAGTTTATGTCAGATAGATTGCCAGGAACAAAAATTAGAATGTCAGAAATTATGTCAAATAGAATGCCAGAAAGGATGGCAAATAGATTGTCAGAAAACATGTCAAATAGAATGGCGCATAGAATCTCAGAATACATTTCAGAGAGAATGCCCGGAAGAATGCCAGAAAGAATGGCAGGCAGAATGCCAGATAGAATGCCACATAGAATGTCAAATAATATGTCAGTTAGAATGCCAGCTCAAGTGCCAGAAATAGTGACAGATAAAACGTTAGACAGAATGCCAAAATTGATGCCAGATAGAATGCCAAAATATATGCCAGATAGAATGCCAGAGAGAATGCCGGAATACATGTCAGAAAATATGCCAAATAACATGACAGAATATATGCTGGGTAGAATGTCAGAAAGAATGCCAGATGAAATGCCAAATAGAATGCGATAGAACGTCGGATAATTCATATGTCAGATAGAATGCCAGCTCAAGTGCCAGAAAGAATGTCAGACCTATGGTTCTGCATGTTCAGATCTCAGATGCCACTGAGAGGGCCGTGACGCAGGTGGTAAGCATGCATAGGGAGATGATGGGGCTACAAAAACAACTCAGCGTCCACCATCAGCACCAGCTCCTGTGCCAGAAATGATGCCAAATAGATGCTGGGAAGAGTGTCAGAATACATGTCAGATAGAATGTCCGAATATTCCGAATAAATATGCCATATATACTTCCAGATGGTATGTCAGAAGCTATATCAGGATAATGTTTCACGGTGGGGATCACTCGAAGAAAGTAATTCTTTGTTCCTTTTTTTGCACATTTAAAGATGCAGTTTTGGCCGCCATCCTTGGCCGCCAATGTTCTGTGGGAGTACCGTGTTTTTTTTTCTTGTTCTAGTGTTGATTCTCTCTGTCCATGTGCAGAAAACGCATATATGCAGGTCTCAAACAGCAGAACGTATAACAGCATTGATGCATGAGAAACGAATAGCAAATACACCTTGTGAAAGTTTGATATGGCTATATATGTAGATCACAATTTGGGAAAATCAAATCATCTATAAACAGGCCATTGTACATTGCTATATTAAACCATCAAAAGGTAGAAAAGGATCTTACCCTCACCACCCCGCCTAAGGTCACATTTGGCAGATAATAATCATCGCGAGAATGGCTGCAGTGCAGGTGCAGGCTAAATCACCAACATGTCCCGAGAGGGCTGAGATAAATGTATCACCGTCTCACCCAACTTGTGCAAACTAGAAATCCCATTTTGGCCGTTCCCCATCACAATAAACCTGTCCATTGCCTCTGGGGCGCCAAAAAACACATAAAAACACACATATAAAGTACAAAACCATTCAGAAACGTCTTTATGCGAAAACAACTTTGACAGGGGAACCATCAAACACTACTGCCCCTGGCCTCAAGAAAAAATTGCTGCTGAAGTAAATCGGAACCTCCGAACGTGGGGTTACATTCCTTGGGCGGGTGCTGCCCTCAAATTGTCCTTCCCACCATGATAGTGATAATCCACCACTATCCCAGGGGTAAAGTGGGCCATTGGGATTGCAAATAGGTTCCCGTTAAGTATAGGTATCTACCATAACTTTAGTTATAGAAGTAGTTAAAACCAACTTACTCACTGGGGCACCAGCTTGATTGAAACCACATACAAATTTGAAATTTGCTGAGAGTTTTACATTTTTCTGCCCAGGCTCAGTTAAAAAAAGCCGAAGACTTGTCTCCTTGTTCTTCTTCTCAAAACTCAGCCTGAACTCCGGAGCTGCATTCCACTTCGGCACGCCCACCCGCAATATGCATAAAAAAACAATGCATATTAGTGCATATGCTTGGTCATCATGATCACATCTTTCCTATACGTATATATATATATATATACATATACATATGGATGTGCGTATATGTGTTTCCACTGCGTCTTGGAATACCCCAGATGTCGCGTGGGTTGTGGGCAAAGTGGCTATGGTTTGTGGGTACTGTTGGGAGTTGCGTGTTCTCTTCGGGTCCTGCCCGAAAGGCTTTCTGACAAAATGCACCCTTTGTATTGCATGTGTGTGTGTATGTACACCCTTCTTACACAGGGCATGGTGCTTGGTATCATTTGTGCAAACCACATGTGGACTTGCATGGACTCATGCCTATCACATTCAACCTGGTCCAGCGAGGCTGGGACAGGGGAAGCATCAAAGGACGCTTTGAAGTGTACCTGTACATTTGGGATGAAAATTGTTGATCAAGCTTTTCTACTATTGTGTTCTGCAGCAGAGATTCGGTATCCTCCTCTCATGGACTCGGCAGAGCCAAAGTGGAATCAGTGTCACTTTTCAAAACCAATCTGAATAGACGCAATGTAAATGTAAATCTTCTGCTTCTCAGCAGGGGGTTGCTGGGGAACAGTGCAGCCAGCGGCCAATAAATACGACTCTCTGCTGTTCCTTTGGAAAAGTACCTACGGTAGTCCACGTGGTCGTGCGCAGCCTGCTGCCATGTGAAATAACATGTTAAAACTGGTTTGCACTGCCATGTACGGACAACGTCTACTCGGACTTTGACTGTGACTGTGACTCTCTCTCTCTCTCTCTTTTCTCTGTATGTATATTAATATATATATATTTATTTATGCACATATGTAATTATCTATATAACTGACCCATCTACTCGTGCTTCTCTTGATGGTCACTGAGAACGGATACTTCGAAAATGTCATGCCAAACTCAAAGGGGTTTTCCTCAGATCGTAAATCAAGATACATCTGCCGGATGGGATCAGTGTTTACGTTTGTTTGGTATGTGCAGGCAAGCATAGAAACATGTATAATCATATATATATATATGAATGTATAACCATGCGAAATGCACATGAGTCAAACAAATGTATATTCGCGCGATTGTATTTTCAATGAGTGAACACACACACTGGACTGCTTCTAAAGGTTGGAACTGGTTGCAAGTTGGCTCTGCTGAATCGCTTGCGAGCCCTTCAACATGGCCAGATGGGTTCCCTGCATAGTTCTATGGAAATGTCGGATGTGGAAGTGACCATGCGCTGTGTTAGAAAGGCGTACACATAGACATACATATCGCTAATAAATGCATATATATATATATAAATGTATGTATATATAGGCTCGTCCCCCCTCTTGGAACTACATACGATGGGGTGGGGGGATGGGGTGGGATGTTAACGTTCATGTGAACTTGCAGAGCAGTTGATGCTACGCACACGCGGGGTGGGGTGGGGGGGGGATGGGGTGGGATGTTAACGTTCATGTGAACTTGCAGATGATGATGATATAATGCTGCTGATGATGATGTGATGATGATGATGATGATGACGATGATGATGATGTTGTGATGATGATGATGATGATGATGATGAGGATAGCCCTAATGAAACTTGTCAATTCCGGGACAAAATTTCGTCCCGGAATTGACAAGTTTTACCAATCTAATTCGGGTTGTGCGCAGTTCCAAGAGGGAGGACGAGGCTATATATACATATGTGTACATTATGAGTCGAACAAATGCGTAGATGAATGCGTTTGAAAACGCAAATCTATCCAAATAACTTGTCGAAAAATACATCTAATGTAACTTCTAAAATTGTGTGGGTCACCTGTATTTCCTTTCAGTCCAACAGAAGGTAGTAATTTATAATAGGTGCCAATGTGTGACTCGTGTGTGCACTTGTGCGTTGGGCGAAGTAATGGGGCCCTATAGTAGCAACCGGTTGGTGTCGCCATCACAATGACTATCCCAGAATTATGATGTCCTTCCCTCCCATTCCCAGTGCCCCATACCCAAAACAGGTTTGTCTGAAAATAGGGCACCCAAGAGTTTGATGATTAATCAAAAAGAATCAATAATATTCAATAATAATTACTCATCATGTTCCCAACAGGAAAAAAACAGTTTTAGGGTATCCCCAATCTCGGACAAGACCAAGTGTCAGTGAATCAACCACTGCGTCGAGGCCCTGATTGGTGAAATCATCAATTTGTCCAGTGTCTTCACTGGTTTCATCCTAATTTTGGGTGGTTAAACGTGGCAAGACTCCACTTGTTGCCGAATAAATCCCAACTGTTGCTGGCTAACGGCTAACCCCCAACCTTTGTTGCTTGACCTCCTATCCTCATGGATTCCCTATGTTGGATCAGTACGAACTTGTTCCACAACCCACACCTCCTCCCATCCCAGCTCGGAATCGTTGCAGGTGAGTGGCTGATAATGGGCCAAAGCACCCGCATCTCTACCATCACTCGTGTGCGCCATCTTGTAATGCAACTGGCCAACGGTGGGATTCGCCACACGTTTTCCGGCCATCAGTTTTTCCCATCCGAATACAATGGGGCATAATTATATAACCGGATGGCAACTAGAATAACGCACTTAAAAACAAAATTCAATGATTATCATCACAAAGGATATATGTTTAACCACCCCGAAAAATACATATATAAAAATACATATATATATAGAGAGAGAGAGAGGGAGAGAGCGCTATCTTATGATAGTAACTGTCCTCTTGTGGCTTGAGGCCTGGAAGTTTGGAGTCCAGCAACCCGGATCGTGCAGGGAATCAAACCTTGAGGATCACCCCAGGGAATCCCAACGAGCCCCTACCAGTACCACTTCAGCCAGCTGAACCGGGTTGCTTAGGATGCAATGTCTAGTCCCGGGGACCATGGTTGACATGGTTTAGCTATATACCTAGGCCCTAGGCCCTCCAAACACCAACAATTTTATCACTTGCGCCCACTCTTCTGGATACCTGGAGGGTCCTCACTGGCAGGTGAGGAAAAAGAGGAAGAGCAGGAAGAAGAGGAAGAAGAGGAAGAGAAAAAAACAAAAATAAACAAATCAAAAGAAGAAAAATCAGAGGAGAAAGGAGAAGAACAACAACAAGAGCAACACGTGCTCTTCGCAATAAAAAAATCATGCCAGTGGCAAAACATAAACATTGATCTACATCATATATATATACACAGTATATCAGTATATTTAAGAATATCCAAGATCTAAAAGTAAAAACCTTAAGACGGAAATCCCTCCGAAAAGAAAACTGGGGCCATTCCGAAGTCTCACCCACAAGGAGCCCACACCAATATGGACCACCGAATAAATTGCTTCCTGCAAATGATCCCCAATGTGGCCAATGTTTTGAGAATTTATCTGACATACTATCAGACATCTTATCTCATGATATACATATCATATCATATCATATCGTAAAGTATCGTATCATATCACATAATATCACATCACATGATATCATATCAATATAATTCAATTATATACGCACTCTCACGTTTGCTCTGACATTTTTATCGGGCATTTAATCTGGCATTCTATCTGACATGTTACCGGGCATTCTTATGGCATTCTTTTGGCACCTTATCTGGCATGTGTTATTGCTTCTGTTCTGACATGTCATCTGGCATTGCATCTGGCATGCTATCTGCCACATATTATGACATTCTATTTGGCATTTTATCTCGCATTAGATCTGGCATTTTATCTGGCTTTTTGTTGTGACATCCTATCTATCTATATCTGGCATATTTTTTGACAGTCTATCTGGCAATCTATCTGACAAATATTCCTCGCACTCAATTTGGCAAATCTTCTTACAAGAAATCTGACGTTTTATTTGGCATAGTGTTCGGGTCTGGTGGGGTGTAGAGATTTGGCGAGCTTGCCAAAGGATTCGGGCGCAGAAGGGCCCAAGAAGGAAGGCGCAATCGAGATGTCTTGTTAAAATCTAAAGACCCTCACTTGGCAGGTTCCCCATGATGCATAAAAATAGCTTATGCACCCAGTTATAACATGTTATAAGCAGGGTAAGTAGGGTGTGTCCAGCTATAATTGGGGTTATCAGCAATTCCTGGAAGCGAATCATCAACTATAAGAATTGTCCTGATTGACCTCCATCTAAATGACATTCCCACTTAAAGAAAAACTCAAAATGATGAGGATTCCCGTGTCAACATCAGAAGGCGTGCTCCCTTTCAGGATATTTTTTGACAGTCCACTTCCGAACCTCGATGCACCGAGGTATCGAGGTTCGAAAAAACTTTGTTTTGCTCCATCAGAAATCTACAAAGTTCCAACATTCACGATGCCAACAATGGGAGTATGAAAAAAAGTGAAGCAAGAGGATTTTGTCAAGGTCTCACCAAGATTTCGACCAATCCCCCCCAGAAAGCCCCCAGCGCCATGGTCCCGCCATAGGGTAGCTGCTGGGATTCGGAATCTCCTCAGCCTCTAGCAGGTAGTGAGCTCCACCTTGGCTGGTGGCTGAGCTTAAACCCCGTGAAATATCACCCTTAAACACTTCTGACTGTTGGTTGTACAAAATGCTTCAAACCACCAATAAACTGATTTTTCAACATATCTTGAAATATCTAGCGTTTTGATAGGAGCAAAATGTCTTTAACGTTTTAAATTATAAGTACGATACGACGATATTGGAAACGCACAGGAATTGATCTATAGCATGGCTGGGAAATTCATGAGATCTAAAAAAAAATCTACAAACTGTCACTGTAGAGTGTCCTTTGCCCAGGTAGATTCCCAAGGACACTTATCTGGTGGGTTGTTGAGGCAAACCTCCCAAGTTGGCACATCGACAATCAAGATTTGCCTGGAGATCTGTAGTTTCCAGTACGTTGACATAACGATGGAAAAACACTATTATATTATATTGTAACTTTTGTTCGAACGGAAAACAAACCTATGGATTTCCACCCATGAGAGAAATGGGTTATTGTCCATACTCCATGTTGAAGCAAATAGTATAACCGACTAATAACCAAAAAAACATTGATTCAAAATTCGATTCTACCACCATTTGAGCTTTTAAAACCCATACATTGCATCCATTTCAATCCCATTATCCCACTATCATAGCCCGTTCATATCCCACCCACGGATGGCCTCCACTTGGATGCCATCCGGTCCAGCCGCCACAGTAGCTATAGCCTGGTGTAGTACCTATGAAGACATCAACCTGGCACTGGAAACTTTGAACAGCACAGAAGAACGCATACCAGACTAATACAGCTACCCATATGTTCCATGTATGGAAAATTCAGCTATATTTGAGCAATTTTTGGGGTAAATGTATATAGGAAAATAATCCATACATGGAGCATTTGAGCTGCAGAAAATGGATGAAAATGGCCCATATGTATGATCTACCGATTCAAAATCGTATTTGTTCATAGTGGTGCTTGATTACCAAAGGGTAACAAAATGTAACAAATACTTTTTCATGAACAAAATGTCCGTGGTATGTTTTTTTTAGTATGTTCTATACTTTTAGTGACGCAAAATATTTGATGGGAATACCTGTTGTCACTTGTGCATCCAGCGACACGGGATGTCCCAGCGGACCCGCGACAGGTTGGACATGGGTTTGCCAGGACGACATCCAAAACAATAATGCATTTGATCATGATGGACTTGGTATTTTGAGGTATATTTATATAAATGATACACATCATCTTTGGACAAAAAGAAAAAAAGGTTGATCAAAAGTGATTTACAACCACAAGCTGGTACACTGCGTGATGGTTGCCAAATTCAATTACGCAGTTTGTGTTGTTTGTTTTTGTTGGCCGGGTGAGTGAGAAAAAAATCGCACACACACACACACATATATATATATATATGCACACGAACATATATATATATACTATCTATATACGCCGCATATGTAATTGTATTATACATGCAAATATGTCAATAATAAGCAAGGTTGTTGCATAAATGCGATGATGCATATATGTTTGCATGTATGCATGCATGTATGTATGTACGTTTGTATTATGTAATGCATGTAATGTATGAGATGTAATGCATGTAATGTACGCAATTTATGTAATTTATGTAGTGCATGTAGTGTATGTAATGTTTTGAAAAATGTCATGAATGTAACTTATGACATGTATGTAATGATTGTAATGTATTATATATGTAATGTATGCAATGGATGTAATGTATGTACTGTATGTAATGTATATATGTACGTACGTAAGTAATGTATGTAATGTAGTAATGTATGTAATGCATGTAATGTATGTAATGTGTATTGTATGCAATGTACGTACATGTGAATACGTAATCTGTGTAATGTATGTAACGCATTATTGTATGTAGTGTATGTAATGCATGGAATGTATGTAAAAAGTGATGTAGGTAACATATGTACATATGTAGGCGTGAGATGTGTGCAATGCATGTAATGTATGTCATGTATGTAATATATGTACAAAGAGTATGTAGGTACTGTGTGTGATGTATGCAATGTATGAGATGTATGCAATGTATGCAATGTATGCAATGTATGCAATGTATGCAATGTATGCAACGTATGTAATGCATGAAGTGTATGTAATGTATGTAATGTATGTACATATGTATAGTGAGCTGCCAGCAGTTAGAATATTGTTTTAATTGATCTTTACGTATATGGTTTTATTCTAACTGCGAGGGGTCTGTTTTTTTTTGATTTTTTTAACGCAGTTAGAATATTTGATATTTGTATAATTACCGAAGGAAGTTTAGAAGTCAAACTTCCGACAATATGGACAGATGAAAAGCAGAGCAGGGAAGAGGCAGAGAGAAGAGAAAGATTAGAAGAAAGAAGAGTAGAAGAGAAAGAGTAAGAAGAAAGAAGATGCAGATGCGCGAAAGGGTAGGAAAGTCGCCAAACACTGTGTTTTTCCAATGATTTGTGGCTCCGGAGGGTCGAAAAGTAGGCTCGCTAAAGCGGCGGGTGCGGAGCCAGCTGGCCAGATGAGAGATGAAAATTTCCACGCCGTTGTGGCGCAAAGCACATTTTGAAGTCAAAATGTACAAAACACACCAGCTTCGGACCACTTTTGGAAGTTGAGATGTCGGAAAAGTGTACGCCGTTGTGGCGCGAAGCACATTTCGAAGTCAAAATGTTAAAAACACCAGGGGTTCGGACCACTTCTGGAAGTTGAGATGTCGAAAAAGTGCACATCGTTGTGGCGCGAAGCACATTTCCAAGTCAAAATGTACAAAACGCACCAGGTCCGGACCACTTTTGGAGGTTCAGATGTCGCTTCGCTTCAAGACACTACACTACAGGACACTCCAGTACACTACATTACACTACATTACAGTCCAGTACACTCCACTACATTAAATTACGCTACACCACACTACATTACACTGAATGACACTGCAACACAGATAGACCGGTAGACAGCTAGACAGATAGACAGATGAAAGGAAGAGATAGATAGACATGTAGGTAGATAGATAGATAGATAGATAGGTAATTAGATGAAAGAGAGAGAGAGAGAGGCCAGCTGGGTAGATGAGATAGATAGATAGACGGATAGATAAAGAGACAGATAGATAGATGGTTAGACAGATAGACAGACAGACAGGCAGACAGACAGACAGACAGATAGATACATCGATAGATACATCGATAGATAGATCGATAGATAGATCGATACATGGAGAGATAGATACATAGAGAGATAGATAGATAGACAGACAGATAGAGAGATCGATAGATAGATCGATAGATAGATAGATAGATAGATGGATAGATACACAGACAGGTCGATAGATAGATACATAGATAGATGGACAGACAGACAGACAGACAGACAGAGAGATAAATAGATAGATCGACAGACAGACAGATAGATAAATAGTCAGAGAGACAGCTAGAGAAATAGATGGCGAGAAAGACAGATAGATACATAGACACATAGACAGATAGTTAGATACCAAGACAAATAGAGAAATAGATGGGTAGAGACATAGACAGATAGAAATAGATGGGTAGGAACCTGTCCATTGGATGAGAGAATGTCGGTTGTCCTTTCATGGTGGATTCATCAATATGTTCAATATGTTGGTATTTTGATGATATGACTGTCATCCTATGAATGATGTGTAGATGCTTGGATTTTGGTCACGAAAATGTCCATCTTCACTTAAGACGGGTTAGCTCTCTCAACACGGGTTGTGTCTCAAACGATCTTTGTTTGATCTTGATGGTTTTAGGTTCACCGACGTTCCTTGGGTCAAGTTCGTGTTGGACATCTCTGACTGATGCCACTTTGCATTGTTTTTCGCCTCCAAGTGTGTAAATTGGGAACAAAGATTCATCAGATCACTTTTGCCGCAACATGCCATGGATGACTTCGTCTCATGAAGCATGTAGTTGTTGTGGACATATGTCTCGCCTATGCACAGCAAAGGATGCAGCAGCAAAAAAAATGATAATCACGGTTAGCCTTCTCATGTCCGTAGGAATCCTGTTGCCTCCCCGTTGCACCTGTTGGAGCTGTGTGTCTTTTCTGACCGCATCTTCTACTTGGCATGTCGAACAAGCAGTTGCCTGCAACCATCGACCCAAGGAAATGGCGCGCCGGATCTTGGAGCGCCGACGTGTGTCTGTGGCATGCTCGCACCCTTGAGTCGACGCAGAAATGCCTTGATAGAACCTCTCGGCCGCCAGAGGAAGCGAGAAGCCTTCTGCAGGACCTGGCAGAAAGTCCTGCCATGTGGCTCGCTCTTCGAAGGCATCTCACCGTTGCTGATGCCGTTACCGTCTTGAAAATCTTGCACGACCACAGTGAGTGGCCGCAGGTGAGGCGCACGGAGGATGAATTGCTTCGCCGTGAGTACTTGAAGCTTTTCGATGAGTGTTGCTATTTCGACCCTGATTGGATTCATCCTGAAATGCGACAGCGGCAAGCTGCCCGGGCGGATGCTGCTCGGTGGCGCTTCAACCCATGCCTCGCAGATGCCGGATGTGCCTGCGTGGCAGAGATGGCAGTGACCTCACGCGTGGCTTTTCTGCCCGCGTCGTTACCGTCGGGAAGAGCGGGGCACATGCGGCGATGCGCACCGCGGCACTGCTGACGGCACGCAGCGCTTCTGACCGCAGCGGCCACGACACATGCCAGCGTGTATGTCTTTTCTGACTGCACAATGATGCGCTCAAGCATTTGTACTTCATTGCAAGCCCGGCCGAAGAGTCTTGTCCGTTGCTGCTTGGAAAAAAACACACTGCGGCGACACCGTGAGGGAGATGCGTCAGAGGGATGTGCTAGATTTCGTCATGTGTTTGTAGTTTGTAGTGTTAAGACGGTAGGAGCTGTTGAAGTTTCAATTTAGGAATACGAGGATCGTATCAGTACACGGTAGACGGATGGATTCGGATGGATGGATGGATGGATGGATAGATAGATAAATAGATAGATAGATAGACAGGTAGGCAGATAGACACCACTGCACTACATTACACTACCTTCCGCTACACTTCACTACATTACCCTACACTACACTCCACTACACTACAACTACAACTGCAACTACACAACTACACTCCACTACACTACACTACACTGCACTCAATTACACTCAATTACACTCAATTACACTCACTACATTACATTACACTACACTACACTCCACTACACTACATTACACTACACTACACTAACTCCCACTACACTTCACTACATTACACTACACTACACTACAACTACACCTACACAACTACACTCCACTACACTCCACTACACTCCACTACACTCCACTACACTCCACTGCACTACATTACACTACACTACATCCCACTACACTACATTACAACTACCCAACTACATTCCACTACACTCCACTGCGCTAAATTACACTACACTACAGTACATGACACTACACTACACTCCACTACACTACATTACACTACACTACTGCACTACACTACCTTCCACTACACTTCACTACATTACACTACACTACACTCAACTACGCTACAACTACAACTACAACTACACTCCACTAAACTCCGCTACCCTAATTTACACTATGCTAAATTACACTACACTACACACATTACACTGCACTACACTACATTCCACTACACTCCACTACACTACACTACACTACACTGCATTAGACTGGATGACACTACACCATAGATAGACAGGGAGACAGATAGACAGACAG